CCTGGGAGGTCAAGGCTGCAGTGAGGGGAGATTGCATCACCGCACTCCAGCCTGGGCGACAGAGCAAGACCCGGTCTCAAAAAAAAAAAAAAAAAAAAAAAAAAAAAAAAAAAATTTAAAGCATTAGCAAACAAGATTTTAGAGAAAAAGCTCCAGAAATTTCTCAAGTAAGCAATATGTTCAAGCTAGTAAAACAACACTACAAATGACCACTAATTGCACATATACTACATCAGAATCTATGATTAATCCCTGTATCAACTGAGTAAGAATTATAATATTCATTTTATAGACATATAAATTGACTAATAGAGAACCTGCCACAATCACAATATTGTAATTAACTAATAGAAGTAGAATCTGAACCAAAGTCCACCTAGTATAACTTCCTAGAGGCTAATGCCTAAAGATTTCAGCTTCAAATCAAAGCCTGAGGACTGGCTCTTGAAATAGACAAATCCCTATATAAATATGCTGCACATATGTGTGTGTATATACATATATATATATAATTTTTCTTTTTCTTTTTTTTTTTGAGACAGAGTTTTCTCTGTTGCTCATGATGGAGTGCAGTGGCACAATCACAGGTCACTGCAGCCTCAACCTCCTGGGCTCAAGCAATCCTTCCACCTCAGTCTACCTCCTGAGTAGCTAGGACCACAGGTGTGCGCCACCACACCCAGCTAACTTTTGTATTTTTTGTAGAGACGGGGGTTTGCCTTGTTTCCCAAGCTGGTCTCAAACTCTTGAGCCAAGTGATCAGCCCGACTAAGTCTCCCAAAGAACTGAGATTACAGGCATGAGCCACTGCATCCAGCCAGATTAAATTTTCTAATGTTTTTTTGAGATAAGGTCTTGCTCTATTGACCGGGTTGGAGTATAGTGGCATGATCTTGGCTCACTGCAGCCTTGACCTCCTGCAGTCAAGTGATCTTCCAGCCTCAGCCTCCTGAGTAGCTGGGACTACAGGCATGGACCACCACACCCAGCTATATTAATTTTCTTTTTTTTTTTGTAGAGACAAAGTCTTACTATGTAGCCCAGGCTGGTCTTGAACTCCTGGCCTTAAGCAATCCTTCTATCTCAACCTTCCAAAGTGCTGTGATTACAGGCATGAGCCACCACAGCCCACCCAGAGTAAACTTTCAAAAGCAATACCTAAATACTGAAAATAAATGAAACAAATCAACCTAGATATGTATCAGTGGGTGATACAACCATACAGAATGGAAAGAACTTAAAACACGGTGATTTGTTCATCCCCAGAGGGAAACATCCTTGCGAAAAATATGTCTAAAAAAATCTTAAATTACTTTCAGTAACTGCATTGGTGGTAGTGTTGGTATAATCATTCTAAAGTTGTTGTATGTGTACCGTAAGATAAAGTAAATGGTTATCTTGGAAGTACCAAGATATGAATTGAAGGTCTATTTTATCTTAAAAGTAAAAATAAGCAAAAACAAAGAAAACAACTCCAACATTTTCTCTAGCATTGTACATTGAAAAGACCTAGAAACAATGAACAACTCAGTAGCAGTGAACACCTCCACCACCTAGATTGTTGTCTTGAAATATCATTTACCACTATAAAGAAGAAATGCCTAATTATAGTTCTAGAGCAGGAAATGGCACATCTTTACATACCATCAAGCAAGGAATCAATCAAAGTCTACTAGGATCATGCGAAAGGACTCAAGAGCCAACTTGATGAGGCTCTCACAACATGGAACAATGTAAGCATTAAGGATAATAACTGTGATGGACCAAAATACATTACATATATACAAATCCATGAGTTTGAAATGAATCTAAAGAGGAAAAAAGAAAAAATTAAGAACTGGCCACTGTCAGAGATGCCAGTGAACCAGCTCAATATTCTGAAAATTGGTAAATAAAAAGGAAAGAATCAAACATATATCCTGGCTTTCCTGTGTAAATGATACCACAGGGTAACCAAATAGTAAATAAGGGGAAGTTTCTCTTTCTAGAAACATTCCACCATATACAGAAGAAATGATAGAATTAGAATAGCATCCCTTTGCAACTCCTACTTGGGTATGAATCATCAATGATTGGTACCATCACAAAAAGACAACCAGATATTATGTGCATCCAAATAGAAGAACACAGTACTATACCTACGAGGCGGCTGTGTGTGTGCTGGGGTGGGGTGTTAACGCTGAATCTGAGAGCAAGCCTCTAGATGCTACAACCAACTTAACAATTTACAAAAAATACAATAAACAAAGGAACATGTTGACCACCACAGGAATGTAATCAGCAAAATCCAGGCCTTGGAAGCTCTACAGTGGCGACTGGCAAACTACATGAGATGCCTGTTTTTGCTAACCCTTGCTCCGTCGGATAAGCAAGTTGCTTTTTTCAACAAATAAAATAGTAAGAGGAAAACAGATGGAAGGGAAAACCTCCTAAAACATTTCAATCAATCACAACATACAGATCTTACTGGTATCTGGATTTAAACAAGGCATAATGAAAAAAAAAAAAACCTATAGAAAAATTGAACATTTGAATCCTAACTGTATATTTCACAATATTAAAATTTTTATTTTAGGAGTGCTAATATAAAAAATAAGAATTCTCTTTTAGAGATACATACTGAAATTTTTCAAGGGAAATATGTTTGGATTTGTTTCGAAATAATGCAGAAGGGAGAAAGTAAACAGAAGCATAGAGGAAAATAAGACTGGCCATTAACTGAAAACAGCTGAAGCTGGGTGATGGTTACACTATGAAGTATCCCTGAATGCACATAGTAATAGACTCAGTAAGCATGTTTAGATGCATTAGATCATATGGAACCTAGATACATTTATGTTTCTAGATGTTCCATGAGACATTATTTAGAAAGAGGAAAAAGGTCATTTTAAAGAAAACTTCTCTAAAAACGTAACCTCATCTTTTGATACAATATGGCGATCTTGCTCCCCGATAAGAAATACATAACTGTTCTTCCTTCAGATATATTTCCATCCATTTAAAAAATGTTTGTAATGAAGTTTATTATTTAAGTGGGTATCCTTAGATATGATGCCTTCATACAACTCACACAGTGGACAACTATAGGAGTGATCCTTGACAGAAGCTAATATCCAGCTGCCAAATAATATAAAGACCTCAACTTCCCCTTTTTGCAAATCAGTAATCTAGAAAAGGTACTCTCTCGATTTAAGAGTTAATTTTCCTCATAGATTCTTTTTTTTTTTCAAGACAAGTCTCGGTCTGTTGCCCAGGCTGGAGTGCAGTGGCATGATCTCGGCTCACTGCAACCTCTGCCTCCCAGGTTCAAGCCATTCTCCTGCCTCAGCCTCCCAAGTAACTGGAACTACAGGTGTCCAACACCAGGCCTGGCTAATTTTTTGTATTTTTAGTAGAGACCGGGTTTCACCATATTGGTCAGGCTGGTCTCGAACTCCTGACCTTGTGATCCACCTGCCTTGGCCTCCCAAAGTGCTGGGATTACAGGTATGAGCCACAGTGCCCAGCCCCTCATAGATTCTTTATCACCAGGAAATCAATGTACTTAGGGACAGCCTTACAGACTTTCACCATTCTAATATTTCCTTTCTGAATATTCCAAATGATCAGCAACATTTCTCCCAGAAATGCAATTTTTCTCCAAAATGCAACTTCTCCTCCACTACAACACACAGAGAGGCAATATATAGCCTCAGAAGCATCTGTGGCTCACTAGCATTTCAAAGGCAAGAGCACTGCAGGAAAGAAAGCATGCAGGGGCCATCAATAAGTAGTCCATGAATACAAGGCCCAAGTACTCTTCTAGGAAATACTACCCAGAGGAAATAACTGACCTGATGACTATTTTTTCTGAATCTAGTAAACAAAGGAACCCATATCTCTATTTGAAAGTACACCATTTAAAGAGGACACGATCCTCTCCTACTTGGATAACTGTGGTAATTCTAGAGCTAATACATGCCAATGGGCACTGACTCCCTTCGCCGGGGATGCGTGCATTTATTTATCAGATTAAAACCAACTCGGATCAAAACCACCAAACCCTCTCTGGTTTTTATAAGATTAAAAATTAAAATGAAATTAAGAGGACACAAAAACAAAGGGTTCTTTAGTTACAGATATGAGAAAAAGACAAAGGATAATTTTTTATGCAGAAATTGATCTGCAGATGTCTGCTTATAACATCTGTAAGTCACTTTAAAAAGTCCACTATGTGTATCACATTAGCAGCAACACGTTATTACACATTGAAGTGCAGTCATTTGCAATACACACACCCCCCAAGTAAATTTCTAGAAATTTTTAATCATTTTTAGACTATGCCTGTTACAGGAGTGTTAAATTAACAAAATTTTAAATAAAGCTTTGAAAAGGATATTAATACTTTTAAAAGACTTATTTTACATCAAGTGACAAGAAAAAAATCAAGAAGAATGTAGACTTCTCAAAAGACTAGTAACCAGAGTTAGGTTTTACAGAAAGGATGGACTTTTTTCTAAAATTCTGAAAATGATAGGAAACTCATAATAACTCCAATTATCTTTCTGGCAACAGAAATTTCAGCTGCCGATCTTTTTGTTTGTTTGTTTTTGTTTTTTTTTTGAGACAGAGTCTCACTCTGTTGCCCAGGCTGGAGTGCAGTGGTGCGATCTCGGCTCACTGCAAGCTCCGCCTCCCGGGTTCACGCCATTCTCCTGCTTCAGCCACCTGAGTAGCTGGGACTACAGGTGCCCACCACCACGCCCAGCTAATTTTTTGTATTTTTTAGTAGAGACAGGGTTTCACTGTGTTAGCCAGGATGGTCTCGATCTCCTGACCACGTGATCCACCCGCCTCGGTCTTGCCAATAGTTTTAAGTACTTTGTGTATGTCACGTAAATAACTCAGTATTAAATTTAAGACAGTTACATGAATTAAAGAATTATGAAGTCAAAATAAGATTCCTTTTCCAAGCCCTTCCACCCACGATATCAAATTCATAGGACTAAATGTAAACTTACTTGGGCTGTTAGAAAGGTATCATCTTCACCTTCTTGAGCTTCAATTTCCTATGTAAAAGGGTATACAATAGCTTTGCTTTACAAAATATCTGGGTAACATGAGAATGCTTTTATGCTTATACCTGATTATCATTTGCCTTGTTTTCTGTATAATGTCTATGATACCATGGGTAGTAAATCAATGCTTAATATTCAGACTATATTTTATGCCAAAAAAAAATTAGCCATGTCGCTAGAGAATTAGAAACATTTCTCTTGAGCCCCTCATTTATTAGGTAGGTAGAAGTGAAGTGTTTTAAGCATGAATACTAACAGCACTGACTCCTTAACCCACTGACTTTCTTAAAATGTACTAACATACTTCAAAGCAGGACAAATGGTCTATTTCAAAGAAAATATTTGGAAATATTATCTACTTTAAAATTAAACTTTCATAAGTAATTCCCCACCCTTGATATAACCAAAGAAATGTAAATTAAAGTAACCTTTTATACTTGCTAAGGTAGCAGAAAGGGGAAAAAACCCTACCACCAAGTAATGCTGGCAATGCCAGAATGAAATTGGTACATTCATTCATCTTGGAGTAGGGAAAAAGCCTTAAAACTTAAAATGTCCAAAATTAAAGGAGTATATTAGAATTGTAGAAAGCAGTCTAATAAATTATGGGAAAATTATGAAATTATATGTTATATGAAAATACAGAATATCAACTTAACTCTGTAACAACTATGTAAAAATATATATTATAAGAAATAAGCAAAAATTTAAAAGGTTGCCTAAGGTGGTAGGATTTTAGATGACTTATAAGTAGCTTTAGTAGCACATCTTTTAAAAATTCTGAGACTTCCAAATTGAACTAGAAAAAAGTACTTTTTATTATTTAAAACTTAATTTATCTGTGTCATGTTTTAAAAAAAACTGGCTAAAGACCTGACTTTCGATGTCCTCTTTTTCTATATCTTCTATTCCTTCTGCCTCTATTAATTCATGAGCTCTCTTGTTTTCTTCTGCAGAGAGTAACTCCTTGGAATGCACATTTTCTTCTTCATTTTCACCAAATTCTTCAGAGTCCTTTAGTTCATCATTTCCATCTTGCTCATGTGCCTCTTGATTCTCCAATTCACAGTCCTTTTAATGGTAAGAAAATTTGGTACAACTAGAGGCAAAGTAGCGTGGGCTATCCACCAAATGTTTTTGGTAATTTACACCTTTAAATGTGTCAAATTTGATCATATTTTAATATTCCCAAAGTTCAATCATTTTACCTTATATATTAACTGTGTCTTTAAAGATAGGTCTAATACCACGATCATCAAACACGAATCTGAGTTCTCAAATTTCTCACACTAAAATGCACACTAATTGAATTGCTACTAGAGATGCTCTAAATTCCAGTTATTTAATATTTACCAAGCCACCTTCTAGGAGCTGTCCAAAAAATATGGCTTGATTTCTCCATGTGCCATACGTTGATTTAACTTCAAAGACTTTGGAAGTCTTATACATTAAAACAAAGTTTACTTCTAATAATAAAGAACACCCAACTGCTGCGTCAATGCCTGTTCTTGAAAAATATGCAAATAACTAATTGAAATGTATTTGTTTTGAAATCTACCACTGTGCCAAATGTCAATTAGGAAGGGTAACACAGGTTGGGATTGGGTCTGTTTGTCCTTCAAAGTTTATGGATATATGGTACTTCAGTGAAAACAAAATCAGCAATCTGCTCAATTTCCTCTGATTAAGCGCAGAGAAAGGGGTGAAAGCAATAAAGGTTCCTTCCTTTTTTCCTGTTCTTATGGTAAATCCAGCGGATTTAAGAAAAGGCTTCTGGGTTAAAAGGTAAAAGAGGCAGAGGCATGACTACTAATCATTCACAGCTAAATTGCGGTGAGGAAACTGAAATTTCTATCGAGAGGTGGGCATAGAAAAGAATGATTGTTTTGGAATGTGGAGTGCTTGCAGAGCAGGGGATCTCTTGTTTGACCAAACGTACTACAGTATGAGTTGGGGAACGTGAGGGGTTGAAAATGGAGTACATGACTGTATTATGGCAGAAGTATAGGTGCAAGAAAGATCAAGGGAAGTTACCAAGGAAACTTCACCTATTCTGAGGTGCCAACTTTGACCAATCTCCTCACCTATTCACAGAAGCAATTTCTATACAATTCTGGTATTTAGGCAATAGGTGATATTTACCAACCATTACTGTATAAATTCCAAAATTATCAACTGTGAGAGATGAGAAAAATACATTCACTTAATTTCTATCAAATATATCACATGTTAATACTTCCAAAAATAAACTGAAGATATCTTTAAACAGAATTTTTAAAAAAGCTCCTAGGGCTGGGCGTGGTGGCTCATGCCGGTAATCCCAGCACTTTAGGAGGCCAAGACGGGTAGGCGGATCATGAGGTCAGGAGTTCGAGGCCAGCCTGGCCAACATGGTGAAATCCCGTCTCTACTAAAAATACAAAAATTAGCCGAGCCTGGTGGCGTACGCCTGTAATCCCAGCTACTCAGGAGGCTGAGGCAGGAGACTCTCTTGAACCAGGGAGGTGGAGGTTGCAGTAAGCCGAGATTGCACCACTGCACTCCAGCCTGGGCAACAGGGCGAGACTCCATCTCAAAAAAACAAAAACGAACAAACAAAAAGTTCCCTTGTTATTCTAGACGTTATGACCAGGTTTATTTAACAATAACACAAAGGCATCCTTTGTAGCACATATAAGAAACAGTACTATTATTCTTCTGAATAGACATATATATCTCCTTAGGACATTTCAAATGACTGTAACATTTTTATGAACTGAAGAGCTGAAAGAAACAAATTTGAAAAGTAGAAGATTTTTTACTGAGTCACAATGTTTTTACAGCTTATGGATAATGTTTGCTTAATCATACACTTACTGGTGAAGACAACTGGAGAAAAATAGGAAGAAAGGAACAAACCTGATGGAAGATATATAATAAGGGTAACAGAATACCAAAACTTAAAGGCTCAAACACAAGCTGATTACAGACATGCAATCATCAATTTTCATGGATCCCTGGGCAAATAGTTCCTAAAATTATCTGCTTTCAGGGTTAACTCCTCAACAAAACACCTTCTGGGGGTAGGGCTGTGTGTGTGTGTGTGTGTGTGTGTGTGTGTGTCTGTGTGTATGTGCAGTGTGGAGAGTGAAGAGAGCTAGGAGGCAGGAGAGATGGGTGTGTAAATGAACATGAGCTGACTCTATGGTAAAACACACAAACATCAAGAGACATGATGACAATATGGACTAGTTTTACCCAGGAAACAGAATATATGGGGGCACAAATGTACATAATTCAAGAGAAACTATACTCATGAAATAATTCCTGCAAATACCACAATACTTAAGAACAAATAAGCAGATCACTTTTCATTAAAATAATAATTTAAAAAAATTTTAAACCCTAACTACAATTATAAACAGCTTGTTCTATAGCTGTAGTATTTAGAACTGCCACAACCCCAATTAAAATTACATCCATAATTTTTCTGGCCAGCCAGTTTTGAAATACACTCATTTTTGGCCCCAAAAGGCCTCGCTTATTCATCTTTAAATGGCAAAACAAATTTCTTAATTTGATCTCTCTCTTTCTCTCTTTTTTTTTTTTTTGAGACGGAGTCTTGCTCTGTTGCCCAGGCTGGAGTGCATTGGCACCATCTTGGCTCACTGCACCCTCCACCTCCTGGGTTCAAGCAATTCTCCTGCCTCAGCCTCTCAAGTAGTTGGGATTACAGGCACATGCCACCACACCTGGCTAATTTTTGTATTTTTAGTAGAGATGGCGTTTTACTATGTTGGCCAGGCTGGTCTTGAACTCCTGACCTCAAGTGATCCACCCACCTAGACCTCCCAAAGTGCTGGGATTATAGGCGTGAGCCACGGCGCCTGGCCCTTAATTTGATCTTTATCAAGTAGTAACACCTCAGCAATTTTATCAGTGTATTTTGAGGTCTACATTACTCTAAGTTCTGTAAATTATATACAAAAGCTAAATGCAATGGCAGATAAAAAATAAATTATCAATATCCTTCCCTGTGATATCTTGTCCAGGAACTAACATACATATCTATTATCTTGTAGCTATTTCCCTGGCCAGCTTTCTACCTAAAGGCCTGGAGAGATTATTATTTTTAGCTTTTGTATCTCATTTAATTAAAGTTATTTACTATATTTCTCAATTATGAGAGTTAATGAGATTGACAATATTATACATTGTCAGTATATAGGTCTTTATCTTTAACCTACATACTTCAGTGACCATTCTTCAATGCAATGCACAAAATTCATGATGCAAAATACTAGGCTTAAAATAAACATCTTAACCTGAGTAATGAACACTTTACCTTGATAAAAGCATCATCTTCCACAGAAGCATCTCCACTCAACTCGTCTGCTTCATGTTTTTTACCTGTGAAAGAAGGAAGATGGGCTAACAACTGATATTTTATTACTTTAAGAACAAAAAATATTCAGAGTTTACCCTGCAATAGCACTCTCCACTCCCAAGCTGTCTAACAAAGCTAATGCCAACTGCTTATAAACCACCTGGTCAGAGCCGTCCCAAACAAAAAAAGCTTTCCTATGTCATGCTGTTTGAAATAAACTGTGCACATAATCCTACACATGAACCCATCAGCTTAACTGATATGACATGTATGATGCATTTTTCTTTACACCAGTTGAATTTTCTATCCTCAATTATCTGAGAAGTTGTGATACCTTTCAATGGCATTCTACTGACTATATATACACAGACACCTGATAGCTAAGTACAAGATCTGTACCTCCCACAAAGCCTTTCCTATGTTCTTCTCTTCAACAAGCATTCTCTGAAATAAAAATTCTCACACTTTAATCTTCATCTTACAATCCATCAGGTGATTGATGACATATTGCCTTGTACTCTGTCTCTAGTATACCTTGCCTCTTCATAGAGAAGATTAATTCCTTAAATACAGTGACTACTTTTATGCTAATTATTTATTTATCCAAAAGCCTAAATATAAAGAGTGCTGGCCACTTAACATAATAACTGATTTAAGGCATGCAGAAATTAAGGCAAAGTGAAAACTGTTAATAGCTTTCAGACAAACTACAGACCTTCTTTGCCCATCTTCAAAACTTCGCAAACTGGTAGTTAGAATTTTTTTTTTTTTAAGAATAATTATTTATTCTTGAGACAGAGTCTCACTCTGTTGCCTAGGCTGGAGTGCAATGGCACAATCTCGGCTCACTGTAACCTCCCCCTCCCGGGTTCAAGAGATTCTCCTACCTCAGCCTCCCAAGTAGCTGGAATTACAGGCACAAGGCACCATGCCTGGCTAATTTTTGTATTTTTAGTAGAGACAGATGGAGTTTCACCACGTTGGCCAGGCTGGTTTCGAACTCCTGACCTCAAGTGATCTGCCCGCCTCGGCCTCCCAAAGTGCTAGGATTTACAGGCATTAAGCCATTGCGCCCAGCTGGTAGTTGGAACTTTAAAAACGCTTTCCACATTTAAAAAAAAAAAAAAGTTTTCCACAGAGGCAATGCTAAAAGTTTATTATGTTTTCAGGCTAGTCCACAAAATCCTAGTTAAAAATCCTTGGTGTACTAGAAATGTCATTAAAAAACACATCTTCTGGAACTTTACTATTAAATTTTTTTTTCCCCCATTTCTTTTGAAACATGAATGGATGTTCTTTCCTAGGGCCAATGAATGAACTTTTTTCCCTTTGCCTATAACCGGCACAGACAGTGCTACTACCTAGTTTAAGCTTCAGTAATCAGGGTAGAGGTTTAGCTGCTGGGATAAATATTTTAAAAGTTAGTATACCTGCATTTCCCTAGTCTCCTCGGTAGCTCCTGTCATCTACTCCCAACTGTAAGTCATTTCCACGAATGAGTGGTAAAAGGGAAAATGCTATGCTAGTCCTTCCAAGTATGCAAAAAACAAGATTAGGAGTGGGGATTTTTCTTTTACTCAATTGGTAGCTGAAGGCTTGTGAGAACCAAATAAGAAATGAGGTGTGGCGCTTGGTGTTGTGCTAACTTCCTATTTACAATGTTGATGTTTGCATTTTGGGGAAAACAACTTTTTGGTTTAACTTTCTGGTTTACTGTTACCTTTGTAGATGAATGCTTTGCATATAAATTTATAATTACTGTCATCATTCTCTTTATCACTAAACTTAATTTGTACATGAGAATTTCACATGAAAACAAGTCTATCTGATTACGTTGCCCTAAAGTCTAAAATTAGAAGTTATTAAAAGGGCAATCACTAAGAAAAGTCTGTTCATCTGAAAGTATTAATCTATTTAAGAAAGACAAAAAATTAAAGATGTTCTTTTCCTGAAAAAGAAAACTACTAATTTTTTTTTTTTTTTTTTTGAGACAGAGTCTTGCTCTGTTGCCCAGGCTGGAGTGCAGTGGCACCATCTCAGCTCACTGCAACCTCTGCCTCCTGAGTTCAAGCGATTCTCCTGCCTCAGCCTCCCAAGTAGCTGGGACTACAGGCACATGCTACCACGCCCAGCTAATGTTTTATATTTTTAGTAGAGATGGGGTTTCACCGTGTTAGCCAAGATAGTCTTGATCTCCTGACCTTAGGTGATCCACCCACCTTGGCCTCCCAAAGTGCTGGGATAACAGGCGTGAGCCACCACACCCAGCTAATTAAATTCTTCTATTACATTTAGAGAAAGTTCCATAATATAAAAACCTCAAAGAGGCTACTTTTTGGGAGAAAAAAAGCTCTTTTAAAATATCAAATCCTGCTGGAAGCAGTGGCTTATGTCTGTAATCCCAGCACTTTGGGAGGCTGAGGTGGGAGAAGCGCTTGAGTCCATGAGTTGAGACCAGCCCAGGCAACACAGTGAGATCCCTATCTCTTCAAAAGAAAAAAAATTTTTTTTTAGACACAGCTGGGTGTAGTGGTGTATGCCGGTAGTCCCAGCTATTCAGGAGGCTGAGGTGGGAGGACTACTTGAACCCAGGAGGTGGCAGGATTGCTTGAACCCAGGAGGGCAAGGCTGCAGTGAGCTGTAATTATACCAACCACTGCACTCCAGCCTGGGCAAAAGAGCGAGACCCTGTCTCAGAAGCAAAATAAACCAAAACATCAAATCCTCTCCCATACCCACTCACCACCAAACAGCCTATAGAGGAGAACTTTTGGGGGAACTCCTTTAGATCATTTACAAATGCTATTTATTCCTTATAATCACAAACTGCCTTACAATTTGCAAAGCACTTAAAAAAAATTTCAGTTGATTTGTCCAGGCACCCTATGATGGTACATGGGTCCATTATCACAATTTTACAAAAGAGAAAATGAGCCTGAGAGGTTAAATACCTTGCCTAAAACTTGAAAATGGTGCTGTCAGAACTGAAGCCAGGATTTCTCACGACCGATCTTGAATTCCTGCCACTATATTTTATTATGACCTGTATAGAACACATTATTCTAATAAGGAGTGGTGAATTAATTCAATTTAATTATCTTTGAGGCCAGATGCAGTGGCTCATGCCCGTATACCCAACACTTTGGGAGGGTAGATCACTTGAAGCCTGGAGTTCGAGAGCAGCCTGACCAACTAGCAAAACCCCATCTCTACTACAAAATACAAATAAGTAGCTGGGCATGGTGGTGCATGCCTGTAATCCCACTTACTTGGGAGGCTGAGGCACTGGGTTCAATCACTTGAACCGGGGAGGCGGAGGTTGCAGTAAGCTGAGATCGCCCTACTGCACTCATGCCTTAGAGACAGAGTGACACTGTCTTAAAAGTAAAATAAATAAATAAGGCCGGGCACAGCAGCTCATGCCTGTAATCTTAGCACTTTGGGAGGCTGAGGTAGGTGGATCACCTGAGGTAAGGAGTTTGAGACCAGCCTGGCCAACACAGTGAAACCCCATCTCTACTAAAAATATAAAATTAGCCGGACATGGTGGCACATGCCTGTAATCCCAGCTAATCGGGAGGCTGAGGCAGGAGAATCACCTGAACCCGGGAGGTGGAGGCTGCAGTGAGCCAAGATTGCAACACAGCACTCCAGCCTGGGCAACAGAACAAGACTCTGTGTCAAAATAAATAAATAAATAAATAAAAATGTTCTGAATGTTCTGGCTGGGCATGGTGGCTCACGCCTGTAATCCCAACACTTTGGGAGGCAGAGGTGGGCAGATAACGTGAGGTCAGGAGTTCGAGACCAGCCTGGCCAACATGGTGAAACCTGTTCTCTACTAAAAACACAAAAATTAGCCAGGCGGGGTGATGGGCATCTGTAATCCCAGCTACTCGGGAGGCTGAGGCAGGAGAATCATTTGCACCCAGGAGGCAGAGGTTGCAGTGAGCCGAGACTGCACCAGTGCACTCTAGCCTGGGTGACAGAGCAAGACTCCATCTCAAAAAAATACAAAATAAAAAATTTTTTAAATAAAGGTATTATATTTGAAATGGCAGTCCTCAGCATAATGACAAATTACATACTATGCACACTCTGTATCAAATTTCACTTCTTTTAGTAATAACAGGAAAATCAAATTACACTTCAGCAACAAAAACAGCAGTCATTACTACTGAAGTGGCATCTATGGTCCAGGTACTAGGATAAATTCTTCATATGCATTTATGTACTTGTATTTTAAAATTTTATCCTCACAACTACTCTGAAACAATTATGCCCCTTTTACAAAAGAGAAACTAACTCTGAAAAATTAGATTACAAAGCTAGTAAGTGGCAGTGCTTCAATTTCAACGCAGCCCAATTTCCATTCCTCAAAACCATTAGATCTTTGAGGAGCTACAATATGCCAGTTGTTTAAAATATTATCTCTGTTAGTGTAAACAGAAGCTCCAAAATCCACATGTATAAAATTTTACAACGTGAGACTCACTTGCCCGATGACTATGACGCACGGGCAACAAGAGGCAGCGCTGGGGTATGTAAAAATGGTCTAACTTTGCTGTCCCATACTATTTCCAACAGCTGTTAAAGTACAATCACACTGGACATTTAATGTTTCAGCTTGTAATCTTAAAAGCCATAAGGACAAGATTGTCAAACAGTGATGAAACTGGAGTAACAACCTGATAGATACATAATATTCAAGAAAACTGAAATCTCACATTAGCTTTGGACTGCTTTCATAATTTGTAACTTTTGGCTTGTTTTACACATAGTAAATTAGAAACTATATTGTAACTTCTTTCCTTTTTTTTTTTGAGACAGGCTCTCACTCTGTCATGCAGGCTGAAGTGCAGTGGCATGATCTCCACTCACTGCAACCTCCACCTCCCAGGTTCAAGCAATTCTCATGCCTCAGCCTCAGGAGCTGGGATTACAGGTGCATGCCACCACGCCCAGCTAATTTTTGTATTTTTAGTAAAGACAGGGTTTCAGCATGTTGACCAGGCTGGTCTTG